CCGAATTTCATTAACATTTGCTTACTAAATTAAAAGTTATAGCATGAAAACTATAACAACCACAAAATGGTTACGAGATCGGTCCCAGGAACCGAGCCTGTGCTGAAAGAGTTAAGCACTACAGTCCTGTTAAAAAGCTACAGTAACACAAAATAACAGCGAATATTGAAACAACTGTAGAGAAAAAGAAGCTCAAATCTGCATGAAATACAAGGACTTGGCAACCCTGGATTCCAGCCCTGATATATATACATATAAAATATTGGTAGAAACATGTCCCAGCAGTTCATATTATAGCATTAAAATCCTACATGAAAATAATCTGATAATGCTTCTAGCTTAAATATTCTACATTACTAAATTACATGAAAGATACAGATTTTTCACTACTAATTAATTTTAAAATGTATTTAACTCTAAAAAAATCTTACCTTTCATTCACAATATCTAGCTCATTTCTATCACCATATAACGAAATTAATGAGATTCCTGTACCACTATCCAAAGAGTTCACTCTTTGTGGAATGCCCAGATGTCTTGTTATTGACAAAGTGTGACCAAGAGGAGGCTTCATCAGTCTGTGATCATCAGCCATTTTCTTCTTCACAGCCAGAAGTGCTGCAAGAAGCCTACACAATGCTAGTGATGGTCGTTTTATCTATAACAAATTTAAAATGGTTTACTACAAGGCTTGATGAACTATTTTTAAAGACGAACATTTTCAAACTCCAGTGATACTGTTTTGATATTTAATATTTCTTTGAAAATATTTGCTGATTCAAAAAAATTTTTACAATCTAATAAGACTTTTCTTGTGTTACTCATCAACTAAACTTTAAAATTGTTGAAATACACAAATGGCTCTTAACATGAGATTTCAAGACACTTAAAAAAAGTAATAATAATAAAATTCTGTAGAAGTTTTAAATTTCTCAATAAAGAAAAACGCAACAATATAGATTGTATATGTCTTTTATGGCAAAATAATCACCATCTAAATAATATTAAATTAATATTCCTTTAACAGCAATCACAGTGTGAACCAAAAAACAGTTTTTTTTTCACCTCAAACATCAGGTTAACCTAACTCATTTAAAAAAAACTAAATTCCTATACAGCTTGTTAACAACAAACTATACTAATACAATTAACTATAAAAGCAACATATAAATTAAGTCATATGTACATATAAAAAACATGACTTAAAACTTCCTTCATTTACAAAACATTTCTTAAATAAAGAATATAATGAATATATTTCATCATAATTAAATTAATATCACTCCAAATAAAATATTATCTGAAAGAAAATATAAATAAAAACATTACAAACTGGTTTACCTGATTCAGTCTTTCACTACAAAATACACACTAGCTTATCTTTCAATTTTCACTCATTTCCCAACAAAGACACACTGATGAGACCCATTTTTGGAGTAGTTCTTTAGGTTTTGCAATTAACCAATGACTACAGATGTAAGACTGCTAAAAGATATTTCTTCTACATTAATTTAAAAGCAGTGTGTTTGTGTTTAACTGTGCATTGAACAGCTCATAGACCAGTGAGCATGGTAGATAAACATATTAACATCACATCGTAAGGAAAATTAATGGAAAAACAAATATCTTTCATATTAGGTACAATAAATGGTTGGAATTTTTACCACAAACAACATCTTATGAAAATGTGGGCTAAACAGCCAAGCAAGAAACTCTAACAATTCTGGTGTAGTGATCCCTAATTTGGAACTACTGACCAAGCCAGCAGCACATTCACAAGATAAACTATTTCACTGTAAAAAAGCTTCAAAGTAAAACAGACTAATAAACTTCACTACTGGTACTTTATTTTAAAATACATACATGACACAAATATTCACAAAATAATGAACAGGTCAATACGTATACAACCACACGGTCAGATTAGAACAGCTGTAACTAATGTACAATTACAAAGTTTAAACACCATCTTACTCAAAGTGACCTAAGGGCTCATTCCCAAGCTTTACTACATAAAACTTCACTTTTACCTTAGAGTTTGTTTTATTAACATATGACTCTATTTACCATATAGGGCTGTTTAAGATTTTTGTGATTTTTATACGATGTTTAATGTCTCTTTTTTGTGCTTTACGTACTCTATGCAATAGTCATGATGCTCAAGGCTTGAGCCTTGAAAGACAAAGAAAGTTACTGAGAGAGCAGCTGGGTGACCTTATGGTTTTCTACAAAGCGAGTCCACAAGTGCACAAAATGAGTTCCTACAGGACTTGAGTCAATGGGTGATTCAATAAAAGGAGTCATCTCTGAGCCCTCTTCATGGCAGGCCTATCAGGTGGAGGGATGCCAAGAAGAGGCTACAAGATGAGAAGCAGGACATGGAAGGGACTTGACAAAGTTAGTGGGGATAAGAGAGCTGCTGGGTACACCTGGACCAAGATAAATAGAGTAAGAAGAGATGACAGCTGATGAGCTACCTCAATCTGAGTTTACATAGGATGAAAAACTCCCCCCCAAAAAACCATCTTACAAAAGGAAGACTGCCAAATAGAGTTCCTTGATATGAGAGTAAAGAACTCTAACTCCAAAAAAGTAAGGCATCCCAACTAAGGACATATCCCAGAAATAAACCAAATGAACTGGGCAACTGCTGCTGAATAAGAAATTAAGCAACATGGAGAACAGGTAGTTCTGACTTACCCCAATAAAGTTGTCAGCCTCAGAATGAAGAGGTAAATAAGTCTTACAGTTAAGAAATTGATGAAGATCAACAAAATGAGGAGGAGACAGTCATAAAGAATAATAATGTCTCCAAGCTGGAAGAGAAAATTCAAGGTATAAGAACTCTAAGAAGGAGGAGAGCATAAAGGAGCTTGGAGAGGTTGTGGTAATTGAGAGTCGACACATGAAACAGAAAAGATTCTACATGAATGTGAAAACAGGATGAGGGATGAAAAACTTAAAAAGAAATCCTAGTTTTGAAGTGCATGCAATAAACTCACCCACAAACCAGCAGAAACAGCTGGAGTAAGAGTTACTAGACCAACAACAGACAAAAGTAGGGGAAACCTGATCCTTGTTAGGAATAGAAGAACCAGAAGCAAAGGCAGGTTATGGAAAGATCTGGGCAAAATCATCTACAAAAAAGGCTAGTTAGGCAGAAGCTACAGAGGCAAGAGGTTGTGTATCCTGGTAACAAAATGAAAAATTTAAGACAGAATCAACTACTTGATAGGCAATGGCAGCAATAAAGCTCACCATCAGAGTACCTCCAGTCACACTGAAGTAGAAGATAACTCCTGTTGAGAAGTGCTTGGATCTTGAGACATGTGAGAAAAGTGGATATAAGAATTCTTATTCAGTAAGATCCACAAAATGGAATTAATCGAAATAATCAACAGAAGAGTTTGTTTTTTTCTGTTATATTTTCAATTCTTTTACTTTTTATTGACAAAACTGAAATTAATGATTTCCCTCTGCCTAAGCCCTATCCCACAGTTAATGAAACTAAATGATATTCCTTTGAAGGAAACCAAATCATAGTGTCTTGAAAACTTCTCTCAAACCTTGTGATTTGGTTATGCAAAGAAATAACAGAGCTCGAAATTAGCAGGAGCCCAGGAGTCAATGGCCTCCCGAAATGCTGTCAGACCCATAAAAAGTGTCTGTTAGGTAACCCGCGTGGCCTCTTAAAATCAAAGTTTCCCTCAACATAAATTGATTTAAGCTTTAAAAAACCAAACAGAACTTACGACAAATGTTTGTGGATTGTATATTACTGTAAATGACCATGTATTCAAAGTATATGCACTTTCATTAATACGAATATCATCACTTTGTCCATATTTCAAACTTTTTGTACAAGTGTAATGGAATTTATTCATAAAATTTCAAATATAGTGATTATTTGAACTTTTAAAAAATGACTACTGTTTTCAATCAAAATGCTACTTTTTTAACTTTTTATATATGACATCAAGCCTGCATCAAGGCTCACACATTTGAAAGATGTATATAGAACTTCTTTTTTTTGTTAAAACTTTCCAAAAACAGGCAAGTAAGAATTGCAAGTTTGTAAATTGTTTGGAAAACCGACCTTACTGCATGTACATTGTATGTAAGTATATACATGTTAGGGCAAACAATTTTGAATCTAATTTTGCAGACTGCACTCACCAAAAATAAAAAAAACATAATATTACTGTTTTACCATTCATGCCACAATCGGAAATTGTCATTTACGATTATGTACAGTGACGTTAATGATGTCATTGTGTAGTATTGTTGACAGTTTAACGTTAAAGATTGTAATGACTACACAGAACGTACTTTGAAGCTTTATTATATTTGAAATGGTTGAAATTATCAATAAATATGCCATGAACAAGTGAAAAATAAAAATGGAAACTCACCTTGTGGCTAGTATATGATTGATACATAATGTTATGTGACCATTGTGAGAGACAAACAAACATTTGAGGTTCATTACTTAAATTCATCATTTGCTTCAGCCATAAGTTTGAAGCATTTTGCTATCACTCTATACATTTTGAACTAAACCAAACAAAGTATTCCAATTTCCAACCATAAAGAGAGGAATCTTCAAATCGGTTGCCAAAAGTTCTTTTTTTTTTAAAAAAAAATGCCTCTATTTGTATCTTTATTGCATACATAAGGATCAACTTTCCAGGCTTAAAAAAAAAGAAAAAGAAATGATAACTTTAAATGTATTATGATGAAGAAACCAACATCATGCTGACTGAATTGTTGAATTATATAAAATTTATCATCTCCCAGCTCAACACACATGCTTTCATTGAGTATGTTTCAAATTTCAACATTTACGCCGTGTCATTTTTGACATTTTTGTAAAATCACGAAATATTATCTTTTATTGTTGTAAAAGATGTATGCATTTCCCTGTTAGTTACAGGTGCTACCTGGACTGAGTACCAATAAATGTGCAATGCCAGGAATCAATAATTGGAGAGAGAGGAGAGCCTGTGTTCAGCTGGTGATGAACTCCTCTAGCATGAACATAAATTAAATTAGATAACATGTAACTCAATTATCTCAAGTCTGTGCAATATTCAATTATAGTTTTATAATAAGCATAATAATTTGTCAAAAAACCAGCATTAATTAAGGTGGTGAACTACACAGTTTATTTGGTTACATGTTAAAATATGTCTACAATCACTCTCACAAGATATATAAACAACCTTCTGCAAGTTCTGATTTTGTCATGAAAAGAAACCATAAATAACACATACTTTATGCATGATTCACCTAAATCAAAAAAATAAAACCTCATATCGCAAACGATTTTCCATATTATCTAATATTAAATATCCTACAAAGAACCAGACATATCAAAGTCATAAAAAATATTTACACAACCACAATAAAATATTAGCATTAAAAATGAAAAACAAAACAATTTTTTTATGAATGAATTACCAGATTAAAACAACTTTTAAACAAAATAATCCAAAACATCACTTGTGAATTTAAACTTGACACTCATTCTTTTGTGTAGGTCAAAACCCAAGATAGGTATAATCCAAGAAGATAATCTAAGATATACATATTCACTATCAATAACAATAAACAGTACTGAAGGTGTAAAATAAGCCTTGGTAATGTCTCAAATTCACAGATTAGTCACTAAAAGTTACTTAACTTTACCTTAGTTCTTGAAACTTCTTTCCTTTTACCAGCAGATTCTCCCTTGATTTTTCTCCTTTGTATGTATGTATTAACATTCTTACTATCTATTTTAGGAAATGTAGCTCTCCTTAAAACAGTAGCATCTGATTTAAAATTATTACTCAACATCACTTGAAAATTGTCCAAAATCTCTTGTAAGAGTGATTCTTGAATTGAAGCTGTTAAAAAACAAAATAAATGAAGCAATTAAACTGAAAATTATTTTGCAACAATGATACATATATATACATACTTCAAGAAACTTTTACAAACAAGGTGTTATGAATCACAAAAACATTCATTTAAATATGGTGATAATTAACATAGACCTTTAGTATTAGAAGATAAAAATATAACAGTAGTAAAGGCCCACCACTTACTAAATAACTGTTTATTTACCAATTAAGCTACAGTCTTACATTACTTCCACTTTCAGTTCACCTTTTAGCATTAAAAATAGCAGACCAAATACCAATTAGCATGTTGCACTCAGTTTGATTGCAGTAAGTATACATTTATTCTTCTATTTAGGTACCATTATATAGAAAATAAGAAAAACACTCTTATTGCCTAATCCAAGACTGAAACTTGAACCCTTCCGAGATATACATATTCACCTTCTCATATAGCTGATGGATAATACAAAAACGGACTGCTGGTAAGCAAATTTGTATAAAAATTAAATAATCCTAAGTCATCTTAGGGCTTAAAACAATGACATAAAAATAATACAAACCCCTTGTAATATTTCATTAACCCCTGCATAATTTAATAATTATAGTCTGTTTACAAGGTTATGATACTGTCTAAGAAGGTACTTACACCGATGGCTAGATTCCACAGTTGGCAAAAAATATGGGCAGAACCATTCCTTCATAAGTGAATCCCTTAATGGAGAGGCTAAACATCCACAGTGATATCCAAACCCACAAGTGAGAAATCTATCTTCACAGTTAGCCAAACCACAGGTTTCACAGCATGTGTAATCCTTTACCTGCTGCTTCTGATTACCATCCTTGTGTAAGATGTTTTCTACTGGAAACTTAAGCCCAAAGTATATATATAGATAGACACACACACACACAGAGTTTTAAAAATACATAATATATATATATATATCTAATAGTGCTTCACCAGCTTCTAACAGGCATTTACACCATAACAATTGTTGTAAAAAATGGCTTATATATAAATGTTCTGAAAACTAATACGTACTGTAGTGGTAATCTTCATTAAATACTTAATTTTTTTTTATTCTGAATTATACAAGTTAGTTTATCCACTGATCAGCATTGGTTTTAAATTTAATATTGCATAGTCTAGAGTTATATTATCACTAAATCTTAGATATCAACTGGAAATGTTATCTAAATTACTATAAAACTTCAAAAATTTCTTACCCATCTACTGATTTTTTCACCAAACTGAACACAAACAATGATGAGGCTAAACTGTATTCTGTCTATTGGGCAAGTGTTTATATTCTGGAAAAACAAGTACACAGTACATAACTAAGTGAAAATAATTAGTCATGCTTCATTACACTTCATTAAAATAACTTTAATAATAATGGTACAATGGTTTTAGAAATTTTAAAAACTGAAGCTTTATTTATAACCCTAACAGCTTTCAAACTAGAAGATCTCCAATGTATATATAATACGGTGGTCCTTATTTTTGAAGTTTTGATTTACAACACTCTCACCACCTCATTTTGTTCCACCGTATAAATAAGTAATTCACATCAAATTTTATCCATGTTGAATAACAATTTGAAATTGCTCAAGGTAGATGAAATTTTATCTTGTAGCTCACATTATATCAGCATATTCTGAATATTCTAGGATATTGAAAAGCAAACAACATTTCATATATAAACAATCCATGCTGTCACTTTTTATTTCTGGAATATTCTACATGACATGACAGTAGTTCCTGTGGAGGTATATAAGCACTAAGCATATTCTTCTGTGTCATTTCAGCTGGCACTGAGTGTATCACTGCAAATGGATACTGCAACAAGAAGTAAGCCTACACTTCAGGTGCTTGGTTCAGAAGAAACTGAACAAACAGGAAGCAAATTACATTCAAATGGGCAAGAGCTGTGTGTGTTTTTCTATTAACACAAAACATTACAGAATACAGTTAATGAAAGCTCAAAGGTTGTGATCAAGGAGGCTGTAGGTTTTGGGATTAAGGCTTGAATTCCAATTCATCCAGAACATCATGCCATTATCAAACTGGCTTTCTAAAAAATGGACACATCTAAAGAAAAATTCAAAAGGAAAACTAAAACATAATGAAGCAGAGTTTGTCAGTAATCTGAATGACCTTTCTGACATCATTCATAATTATACTATGACTCTGATGAAGATCCTAGAAAACAAGGATTTTTCTTCTTGCTCAGAAGGAAAGAGGATGTCATTAATGAATGGACCAGGTAGATAATAAGAGGGGTAAGGATGGACAGGAAATGTTGTGCAGAGCAGGAAGAACACAAACCTTGAATGAAACTGTCAGTTGTTGGGAATCATCCCACAGCACTGATGATGAGGTTGGTGGATACAGTACCAGTAACAGTGGTGAGGATAGAGAAGCAATTGAAGAATCATCATCTTATAAACCTTAAAAGAGAGCAAGAAGAAATATTATCCCTCCCAATTTATCAGCAGGTATGGACAGAACCAAGCTGAGTGACAGAAAAGCAACATTTGTCTTTACTGCCACAACTCACGGCCTTGGTCATGATATGCAGGAGCTAACCATCAACCATTCCTCAATCCAAAGATCTCAACATTGCTTCCATGAAAAACTTGTCAAAAACTTAAAGGAACAGTTCCAGCCAACAGTCTTAACTGAGGTTCACTGGGATAGCAAACTCCTTAATGATCTACAGGGAAAAACAAGTGGATCATCTGCCATTGATCCTGTCTGAAGCAGGAGTAAACCAACTTCTAGGTGTTACAAAGTCTATTTCTATCACTGGAGAGGCTCAAACTTCTGTTTTGACACATCTGCTGAAGAATGTGGAGTCACTGATCATGTAAAGACAGTATGCTTTGACAACAGCAAGAAACACCAATCACAGAAATGGAGCATGTGTTCTGCTTGAACAAAGATTAAACCAGAATCTTCTATATTTAGTATGTTGGCATCATATCTAAGAACTTATCCTGACAAATATTTTCAAAAAACTGTAAGAGGCTTTTCACTGGTCCAAATATTGCAATTTTCAATCTTGGGAATACATGGACCAATCCAATTATGAAACTGCAGCTGACCTTGAGGAAATGGCAAAAGATATATAGATGAAGTAACAGACAGTGTTATTAAGTTTGTTACAAGACAATTTTAAGTCAGCCAACCCAGAGATAATTATTAAAACTTTCTTGAATTAGTCATAAACTTTCTTGGTAGTATGGTCCAAATGGATGAGGTTTGACATAAAATGTTTCTTTATACATTGGAACAAAATTAGGGGGTAAGAATTTTAAACCTGAAAATTTACCTGCAAATAAAGACCATTTTAACATACAGTGCTTCCTAAAGATAGCAAAAAAGGTTACTTCTAAATGAAATCTTTAACAAAAAGTATTGGTGTAATGTAGCCTCCAGTAGGAGTCAGAAAAAAAAAACAGATGAAAAAAATATTTGTAAATCAGTGAAAATTGTGAGTGTCCTTCTCAAGCGAAACTTGGCCAGTGTATTTAGGTTACTTCTGTTATTTGTATTTCATGGGGAGGGGGCAGCAACAGGTAAGTAGTCGCCTCCTAATTTTATTCTAAGGTATATAGAATACATACAACATTCACAATAATTAAGCTAGGTCCCCAAGCACACCTATGGTGAAGGTTATACATTTTTAGTTACATTTATAAAATGCAGTATAACTATAATTTACTTGAACTGCATTACTAGATTGTATAATCACCAATATATTTCAACAAGAGTTTCTCTAATAGGCAGAAGCCATCCATTTCATGATCAACTCAAGAGAGGAAGGTACATAATAGTGGAGATAACAGATTTATCACATTATAAATAGGCTCTACTGGACTACTGCCACCCAAAAGGATCTATACACTACTGAGTTATGCTAAAATAAAAACCGTGCTTCCACTATTTTTCTTAGTTACCCAGTGTAGATGTAAAATATAAAGAGCAACATTTGTTTTGATATTTATAGTTTGAAATTAAATACATAAATTAATTTTAACTTGTGATGCTCAAGATCTTTATTTTAAATTAAATAACTATGCTAGCATCATTTCACTTAAAGGTACATAGTAACAGTTCCTCTCAATAGCTGTATATTTTTAATTTTCATCTATTTAAAAAATCACTTTTACCACATTTAACCATAGCCTGAACAATTAAAGCAAAATTTCAAGAAAATAATAATGAGGATTATATCTAATACTTGCTAATCTATTAAGACTGGTACAACCTTTTGATTATCTCTAATACTTTACCTCAATTTTAGCATTTGTGAAATAAATGATGGATAATAGAAGTATTGTATACAAAACAGTCATGAAAGGTAACACACACACATCAACTCCTTTACAGTTCAATCTACTCCTTTACAGTTCATAATTTTTTTAAAACACTGGTTAAATACTTGATAGTTAACAGTCAAAATTAAATACTGCATTGAAAAATAATCAACATTTTATATATGTATATTAGGGTGCATTGAATTTACTTAGTCAAAAATTTTATTTTGTAATTGCTAGGTGGCAGGGTATGCAATAGTTGCCCTTTATTCTAAAAATCAATTTTATGCAGTATGAAATTCCTCCAATTATATCTTCAACTGCCTGGTCCTCTTGGAAAGAAACTGAAGACTTGTGAATCATTGCCTTTAGTAAACTTTGTTTCAGTTGAAATTACAGAGCTATTACCAAATATTGACCATCCTGAAGAACTTAGTACAGATCAAAAATATTTGCATGACATGTGCAATGTGGTAGTGTCAGGTCATTGTTCAAGAGAACTTGCTTTACGTGACCCTGGTACAATGAACCATTCTCACTGGTTAACAACACCAAACAGGATTTTGTGTCTTAACATCGCAACTGCTAACCCATCCAAGAAGCTTAGTTTTTTTGTGAGATATGTAACTGAGGTGTATGCAACAGTTGGGTTTAATATCAAGAAAAATCCCTCATGCAGCTATGGCTCACTGCACCTTTTTCTACTTGTAAAAAAATCACGTTTCTTCCTGAATCACAGAAATATGTGGTGGACAGATTAATCCACAGAAATGCATATTTTGCCCACCCAGAAAATTTGCTGCTTGCAATGCTTGGAGATGAATGTAAGGCTATCAGACAACTTGCTTTTCGTAGAATATTAGCTGCTTGATCTACCTCAAATTCTAGCATAATGAGGCAGTTTGTGGTTCCAAATATTAATTGATATAATAACGTGGACTGAGAATAGAACCACCACTTACAAAAAATATAAGCAATGAACAGCTGGTGTATTTCATTAATCAAACTAACATGCCAGCTTACAAGTTAAGCATGCCATGTCTCACACAAGCAGTTGAAATGCATGTTAAATAGTAACAAAAGCTTCAGCAGCTGTTTGTGGCTATTGCAGAAGAAATGGATTCATTAAAGCAAAACTTCAATTTCACAAAATCATGAACAAATTTAATACTAAAAAACAATACACTATCCAGTAATTCTATTGCCCAGTGGAAGGGTGGTTGGGTGGGCATGGGTGGAACTCAATGTGCAACTACCTCCTCATGGTGAGTTCTGGGTAATTTAGGATATAAAACTCCTAAATTAGCTGAACGTTGCATATCCAAAGTTATGGTACTTTGATTTCTCGTATACTTTGATTATGGATATTTCGTGGAAAATAACCCTCCCACCTCACAGCAGTACAAGATATAATGTTAGAAGCCTGAAACTTACCCTCATAATTACTACAATTAAAAGGCATCAATCGCATACCCTGCTGATAATGATATATAAAATTTATATTTTTGATGCACCCTAATATATATATATATACTATTTTCTAAAAATGAATTACATTATAATAAGCATATATACAAAAATAATTATCCTTTGTCTAGTATTTCACAAAAAACATTTTTTGTATATTTCATCATCACTTGTGTGTGTTTATGTTTGTGATATTTTATACTTGTTTAAGATTACATATAATCAAAATGTAGCATTAACTAAAGAAAAACACAACCATTAGCGAGAAGACCTCAATAACATGGGAAAACAATGGCAAATTGAAAAGTTAACTTCAAATGTAAATCAAACTTGCTGAGATTTATCATATTCTAATTATGTATGTGTATCTTAATCATGTATGTTTGTGCATTCATGTAAAATGTTACTATCAACTTGATAAATAAAAAACACTGGTCAGGTGTAAGCATTTGCAAACAGATTTATATTAGGAAAGAATGGATTAGGCCTCTAAGTCACAGATTAAATTTTCCATTTGGTGA